GCTTCTTTCTTAAGATCTTAAAATAAAAAAGAAAATTTTTGTTCTTAGAACTTGCTCTGAGGGTGCTAACATAGTGACCAACTTCTTTGTCTAGCTTGATAGATAAAGACAAATGAGGATGTCATGTGATAGAGAAAGATCAAATGAGGGTATCATTTCCTCATTTGTTCCCACTTCCCCTTATGCAGGAAGAGCTCTTTCCTGCATTGAGCTCTGGGAAGTACAGTGCAGACTGGCTTGGGGGCCGTTAAACTCAGAGGCCTACCTGGTTTTGGCCAGAGCCTTTCCACCTAGCAGGGGCTGCGCTTCTCCTGTAAAGCTAGAGGGCCCTCTGTGGCCACTCACTGATGTAAACTGCAAGTACTACATGTGCAAGCCCTTGGATATGCACAGCCGCGCTCTGCGCCACAGCTGGGCTCTCTGTGTGGCAGGAAGAGGAGGTCCAGTGTCAGCCCTTGGCATGTGCTCTGACAGGGGACTGTGGCTGTACCGCCTAGGAATGTCTCTTTTGTTAAAATATTCATAACTCTTTGCAGTGGAAAATTTGAAACATATCAAAGTAATGACAGTAAGGACTCAATGTCCCCCTCTCACCCTGATTCAATAATTATCTCTCCTCCTAGCCAATCTGATCTTACCTATATATAACCCACTAGCCACCACTTGAATTACTTTTTAATGAAATCCCAGACATCATGTCATTTCATTGGTGAATATTTCAAAATCTATCTCTAAAATATGTTTGTAAAAGATAACTTGAAAAAATAAGCCACAATGCATGTTACCCACATCAAATTAACTAATTCCTTAATATAATCAGACATGCAACATTGTGTAAGTATCCTAATTGTCCTATGATACTTTCTTTTAGACTGTATTTAATGTGGGGTCTGAATATGGTCCATATATTCCAACTAGTCGGTGTGTACCTTAAATTTCTTGAATGTATAGAATGTTTTTCTAACTCTGTCTCTTCTCTGCAGTTTCCTTGTGGTACAGGGTCACTTGTCTTTTTTTTTTTTTTTTTATTAATGTATTTAGTACAAGGTCTACAGGGTCTCACTATGTAAATCGGACTCGTAGTGGTCATCCTGTTTTCAGCCTCCCAAGTGCTGAGATTACAGGTGCATTCTAAATCTACGTCTCAGCGCACTCGGGGTGGGGCCGGCACAGCGTGTCAGGGATTGAACCCCTGCCACTGCGCTCTGCCTAAGCAGGCGCTTTAGTCCTCTGAGCTGTCTGGCTGGCCCCGTCTTGTGGCTTTTCACTGTCCCTGTTGCCATGTAAGATCTGTTGGTCTCCTCAAATGTTGTGTAGCTTATTCTTCTGTCCCAGTTAATCTCTAGAAAGTGATAGCTGGATTTAGTGTCTTGATCATAATCAAGTGTGTTATTTTTGGTAGGAATATATTCTTTTTTTTATTCAGGAATATATTCTGATGACTTTTTTAAATCTGTAGCCACCGATTGTCCTCCCACAATTGCATGTTATTTATTTAGAAGACGGTTTTCCTGAATATTTAGATAGGAAGTATTCACACACCTAATTGTTCCACAGGGTTTTCAAAAATGATTGTGTTAGTTTTCAGTTACTGCCATAATAAAATAGCACACCATGACTTAAAAAATATTTATTGCCATACAGTTCAGTCTGTCAGAAGTGTAACACAGGTCTCGCAGGGCTAAGATCAAGATGTGAGCAGGGCTGTCTCCCTTTGGGAGGCCCTAGGGGAGAATCCATTCTCTTGACTTTCCCAGCTGCTGGAGGCTGCCCACATCTCTCAGCTCACAGTACCCTTCCTTCATCTTTTTTTTTTTTTCCCCTTTCTTCATCTTTAGAGCCAAGCACTGCATCTCTTGGACCCATCTGCATCTCTCTCTGACAGCAGCTGGAAGGTTCTCTGCTTTATGGGACTCATATGGCTAAGTTGTGTCCAAAGATAGGCCAGGCCAATCTCTCATCTCAGATTCCTTAGCCTCAATCACATCAGTAAAGTCTCTTTTGCCATGTAAGGTAGGATATTCACAGGTTCCAGGGATTAAGACATGAACATGAAGGAGGAGTCTGTGATTTTTCTCCTACCACAATGATCACTCATCTTTGAATATTTCTACCATTGTAAAATTGAAGAATGATTCATACAATGTGATATGTCGCAAATGACCTATTATGATATCATAATGCCTCAGGGTTATGTGATAGAGTAGGGCAGGTTATGGAAGTGAACTATTGTTATGACATTTATAGTAGTCAACTGGTTATAATAGATTGTCTGCATGTTTCTTGATTCTTAAGCTTTTGCGAGCAGCAGTGTTTTATTTTGATCATTATCTCTAAATGGCTGTGACCTTCCCTTAGAAATGCTGCTTTAGAATATGAGAGGCTCAGGTAATTGATGTGATTATTATCACTTACGTGGTGTTTCAATTATCTTCTGTGTCTTTGGACTATGAGGAGAAATTTATTGCAATAGTTAAACATGTTGAGGGTGTGCCAAGGTCTTACAGAGGTTATTTGAGTGGAGCAGAATTTTTAGTCCTCTTTCTGTTGTACATTAGAGAGATGACCTCTAGTTAGGTAAGTCAGACAATAAGTGTGAGAGGAAAGAGCATATATAATAACATGTTTCATTCACAATGCACATCTCTGCTAGATAAAGCAACTTCAGGACATAGTGACTTTCTTCCTAATTGAAAACCCTTGAGGAATCTCCTTTCTTGTTTTTAAATTGTTTTACCTTTTAATTTATATTGACATTTGACCCCCCCATCCTAAATATAGATTATTCTTTGGACACATTTAGAATTTTACTATAGCACTGGACATCCTATAGCAGTGCTAGGTTGGTGATAGATTTCTTTTGGATACTATCCAAGAGGTTGTTACTAAAGACCAAAAGGACCTCATTATAAAGTAATTGTGCTATAAAATGGTCCCTTGGAATGGCCTCTAGAGGCAGCAAGTCATTTATAGCTTTAAAAAAGTGCATAGTGTCAAAAAATGTCACTAAGGGATCCTTACCTCACACCTTTGGTTTAAATAAATTCCAGATGAATTAAAAGAACTAAGTGTAATGGCTTAATTCCATAAAAAGAGTTGGAAACAGTGTAAGTAGATGCTAATGTGATCTTAAGCAAGGAGACCTTGGTGACTTCTGCGTTAGTAGACATCCCTCTAGGTTAAGCAGCCTCTAAAAAGCCTCCTGCCTGGGTGAAGCTGCAGCTGCCATAGTGCTGTCTTCGCCTGACATTGCTTGGGTGAGGAGAGGCAGTGGACTCCGCCTTGGAGGGGTCTTGCTAATGTACCTGGAAGCAAAGGAAAAACAGTCTCACAAGAGAGATGCCTGAGACTGCCTTGTTTTAAAAAAGCCTTAAATTTTAAAGGATCTTTAAATAACTTGATAACTTGAATTTAGCTCATTTTTCTTTAAATTTACAGAAACCAGAAAAGCAGTACATCTTTGTCTTTTAAACAAAATGGTATTTTAGTGTGCATTGCTTTGTATCCTACTTTTTTGGGGGGTGGGTACTGAGTATATGTGTATTTTTGTGGGTACCAGATGTATATGTTTACTTAATAACATATCATGAACTTTCAATACCAAAATATACATACATATTATGGGTATAATTTAATGGGTATGTGCTGTTTCACTGTAAAATTATAAACAAATCCCCAAGCTTGGACATTTAGGTAGTTTGTAGTTTCTCATTGTTAGAAATATATCACTCTGGGTCCAATCAGGAGAAAAAATTTGACGGGGGGGGGTGGTTTAATATAGAGAATTATTAACTATAACAGTGGATTGAAGTAACAAGGGATTAGCTAGCAAGCAGGTAAGAGAATATAGAAATAGCAGGTATGAGGTGCAGTCACTAATCTTAGGCAGAGTGTCCAGAGAGGAGTGTGCCTCTGGGTTGAGCAGGTCCTCAGCTGCAGGTCACTGGATTTCAGAGAAATGGTAGTCTCCCTTCCTCCCTGTTTCTCCCTTCCTTCCCCTCTCTTCCCTTGCTCTGCCCTCCCCTCCCCTCCCCTCCCTTTCCCTTTCCCTTTCCTCTCTGTAGGGGGATTTGGCAGTATTGGGGATTGAACCCAGGTCCTTTACACTGAGCTCATCTTTAGCCCTTTTTATTTACTTATTTAATTTTGGGTCAGTATCTAGCTAAGCTGCTCAGGCTGGGCTAAAGCTTGTGCTCCTCTTGCCTCACCCTCCCAGAGTGCTGGCTTTACTTATAGGCTCACCACTCATGATAGAGTATTAATGTATTTAAGGGGTCCAGATCCATGTTGAAAGAGCAGTCAGGGTTAATTTAGAACAAGAGGCAATAAATTGATATCCAGCACAAGAAACATATTTCAGGAAAGATCCTCATAAATATTTTCCTTGCATACTGCTTGAATGTCCTCTTATGTATGTTCCTACACTCCAAATTTGTAGATTAAAAGGGGCACCTTTGAGAAATACTTCAATCAGAAAGTTTAATTTCTCCTATTACTGCACAGCACTTAGGCACTTCTGGTTCTTCCCACTTGACTTAGCCTTGGGTATCATTGTTCTTTAATCCTTATGATCTGGTTAAATTTTCAAAAGTTCATGATTGTTTATTTGCATTTTTTAAAAAACTAGTGACACCAAAGCTTTTATGTGTTTTTCTGTTTTAAAATCCTTATAAAAATTTTTTCTTGTGTACTTACAGTTTATGTCCTTTATACATTTGAAAAAAATGAGACTCAAGTCTATTTATTACTGACTCATAGATGCTAAAGTTTAAATGTTTAGCCAAATTTTATTTCATTTTCCACCCTTAAAAATTTAAATCTGGATATCATTTTAAAATAAGATTTAAGTTAGGTATTTTATGTTCCAGTGATGTTAACTATCTAATCCCTGGTATATTGAGTTGTGTTACATGCCTGATTATATTTATGAACTTTCAATTGTTTTCCTTTGAGTTTTAGTGAATTGCTTTTTTTTTTTTTTTCTTTTCTTTTTCTTTCAGAACAGGATGCAGGCCTTGATGCCCTTTCTTCTATCATAAGTCGCCAAAAACAAATGGGACAGGAAATTGGGAATGAGCTGGATGAACAAAATGGTAAGAACAAGTGTGGGATGCATCAGATTTGTCCCTTTATTTAAATACTACAGACTGGTTCCCTTGCGAACCCCCAAACCATGACGGTTGTCTTGTTTAAATGGAGAGCATCTGTGATCTCCTCTCACTGGTATGTTTTATATGTCTTAAGTGGTGTAATGTTCATCAGTGAGATCATTCTTAATCCTTTTCATTAAAATAGATTTAATGTTTTCTTTCCACTTCAAAAAAAAAAAAAAATACTACAGATTGGGATGTTTGTTGAATGATGTTAATGCTATGTAACGTGTCAAGTTTTTAATGTCAGTGGATTGTTGTGGCTTAATACAATTGAGGGTAGTTTGTGGCCAATTTAGATTATAGCTATAAAATATTATGTAAAGAAATTTGATTTTAAAATGTCCAGTTTTCAGTAACTGCTTTTTAAAATGCTTTGTTCATGATCTGTTTACCCCAAGTGCTTCTCTTATGTGGCAGTGATGTGAACTTGGTACACTCTGATGCAGTGCATAGCAAGGCTGTGTGGTCCTCACATCAACTATGATTTCTTCTTCTTCTATCAAAATGCTACTCAGTGAGCAAAAAAAAAAAAATGATTGAAGGCCTTTTTCTGGGTTTGATGTAACAAATTCGATTGGAGAGAGATTACCTTGACACACAGTGGACTGGACTGGGAGAGACAGAGCCCCAAGACATGAGGGCTATCAGGAAGGCTTGGGCTGTGCGGAGGGAGGGGGTGGAACCTGAGAGTCAGAGCAGCAGGGGTAGGGAAGAAAGGAGAGATGCAAGGGACTGGAAGTGCTTTCCTGTTAGCAACTCAGGGAAATGGAGATGCTGGTTTCCACATGGGGACATGAATTCACGTTAGACGCATTCAGCCAGAGACCAGTGACAGGTCCAGGTGGAAATGCCAAGCTGACGCACCCCAGCACTCAGGGAGAGGCCAGCAAAGAAAAGAGATGGGGGAAGCCTAATGTGGAGGTGGTGGTATGTAAAAGCCCGAGTGGGTGAGATCCAGGAAGCTGGCACTTACAGAAAGCCCCTACTGTGTGCTAAGCACTGTCATCTTGAGCATTTCAGTTCTTCACACATGCTATGAAGGTAAGTCATCTTCATTTGTTAGAGACAAAGCTCCAATTGGCCAAAAGAACCCTTAGTGCCACATCATCAATAAGTGACATCGCAGAAATTCTAGCTCAAGTCTTCTGACTCTCACACAACTATCTTTTCTATATTATACTTGCTTCTTCTCCCAGGGAGGCAAATAAAGGGTGAAAGGACACAGTGAAAATTTCAGAGGTTTTTAGCTTCTGGCAACAGTCCTATGATAGAATACCTTTAAGAAGAGATGCTATCATGTATGAGCAGGCACACACCTGTCCTGCTGTTGGGCAGTGGTTCACTCTGAAAGGAGGCCTGCGCCTGTCTGAACTATATAATGGACACTTGTTTTCTTGACCCCTAGAAAGAATGAGTTCATTTATTTGCACAGTAATATTCTATTTATCTATCATAAACAACTGCTGTCGTTTATCATCACAAATAAAGAGATTACTAAAGCGAATTGAGAAGCCCTGTGTCCTCACAGTCATAATGGTGGTTTGTAATAGTTTCAGCTCAGAGATGAGGGTAGTCTGGTCCTTTTCTTGATGCTACTGATGTGAGCTGGCCAATTTATGTGTTTGCACATAATTCAGTTATTGGTCAATTTCTTCCTTGAAATAGTATAAGTAAGAAAATATAGAACAATCCTCCCAGGACTCAGGATGCAGCTCCAGGGGAAGAGCACTTGCCTCGCATGGGTATGGCCATGAAGTTGCTACCTACTACCACAAAAGAGAGGGAAGAAGGAAAGAAGGAAAGAAGGAAGAATACTCTGCTTTTCTAACATGCAATTGTTCTTTATCCCAAAGAAATTTCTCCATGTTTAGTGGGTCAGACTAGAACAGACACCCAACACGGTGAAGTGTGTGCATCCTGTGGGTGCAGAAGCCTCAGCACCTGTGAGAGGTGCTGAGTACTGAAGAAACATAATGTGGTCGCTGTAACTTCCCAGGTGAAATTGCTTCTGTAAATTCTATTCTCTTCTGTAAATCATCATGCCAGCACATCTTTATCTTGTTTTTAGTGGTTATCATAATTTTCTGCAGATTAGTCACCTGGGGGGATTTAAAACTCCTAAAGCCTATGGTGTGGCTTTGTGAATTTTGGATTATTGCTGTAACAAATTACCCACAATCTTGGTTGCTTTAAATAGTGTGAATGTAGTGCCTTATGGACTTGTAGGTCACAAGTCTGACATTGGGTCCCACTGATCTAAAACTGAGATATTGGCAAGGCCACATTCCTTTTTGGAGACTCTAGGGGAAAATTCAACTCTTGGCTTTTCCAGCATGCAGAGGCACCCACGTTCCTTGGCTCAGGGCCCCCCACCACAATAGTAGGTAGTGTCCTCATGTTATGTTACTCCTACCACTAATGTTGCCTCCCTCATCCACTTTTAAGTACAAGGGATCAAAGCCAGGGGCTCACATGCTGCGTTAGGCAAGGGTGCACGGGTGCTACTGAGCCACTCCTGTCCTTTTTTAGTTTTATTTTGAGACATGATGTCAGTATGTAGCCCAGACTGGCCAGGACCTGTGAACCTTGTACCTTAGTCTCTTAGTCTTCCAAGGTATGTAACACCACACCCACCTCTGTTGTGCACTTTTAAGGACCCTTGTGTTACTTTGGGCCCACTTATGTAGTACATGGTGGGCTTTTTACCTCCAGGTCAGCCTAAAACTTCAGTGCTTTTTTGTTGTAACCTCAGGAATTTGCAGATCAGGAACTAGGAAACCATTATTGTCCCTACTATTGTACTTCATGCCAAATAAGTTTCAGGGGTGGGGCCCAAACATCAGAATCTTTTAAAGCTCCCAGAATTAATTTCAGTATGCTACCAAGTTGGAGACCAGTGCCCTTGCTGAATTGAGGCAGTCTATTTAGGGCAGCACTTTTCTGATGCATTTTTGATGCTCACATGACACGAGCCCCTCACATACACAGAGCGTTCACCTCATTACAAGGCATCCCATGCAGCCTGAGTCAGTCAAGAGTTCTTTGCTCTTACACATTTCACCCCAGCTCTTTGCATCTTCTCCCTTCTCCCCCACCTTCATTTCTGTCCCCCACCCAGATGGATACATGACATACACAAACATGAGGTATTTTTCCTTTATCTGCCAACATAAGCTGGGTTTTCTCTGTGGTGGCCTCCCAGGGAGACGACCGTTAAGCTGGTGGTTTTCTAATGTGCACATTTTCTCTTCTGAGATAGGGCAGAGTCAGCCATTTTCTCTCAGAGGAACTGAGACTCTCTGAGCATAAAAAATTATATTCCCTGTCAAGACTATGTCAGCTTCTACTCCATTCGCTAAAGGGAACAAAGATCATTTTATCTGTAGGTGGTAGGAGTAGTATTGCAGCCCCATCTGGATCTTCATTGTGATCCGAGTGCATCGTAAGAAATCAAGGGCGCTGGAAAAAGATACCATTTTCATTGTAAATATCTCCATATGATTTACTGAACTATGAATTATTCTTTTGGTTTTCATTAAATGAGAGAAACAATAGGCCAGGATAATGGCCAGCCAGCCCATTTTGGAATCAAGTATCAAAACCTTGCTAACAAAATTCATTGTACTTAGATTATAACCACAACACTGAATTATCTTCAGCTTAGGAATTCAGTTTTCAGCTTTGTCAGGGAGAGTTAAAGAGCTCTCTCTGACCCCAGCCATTACCCTGTTCATATGCCAGGGAAAGGATCAGCAGTCCCAGAGATGGGAAACGTGGTGTGCACTGGTTTGTGCGGTGGCTGGAGGGAAGGACAGAGCCGTGAGTCAGGTAGCCCCCCTGTGGAACCATCACATCTGTACTTTTCAGTTCCAGGTGACCTATGAAGATGGCTAGGCACAAAGAGCTTGTAACAGACTGTGTAGGGGCCGTTCCAGAACTAAAAGTTGTTGTTCCAATTTACTAAAAAATTCTTTACTCAAGAACACAGGCTTTTAAAAAGAGAACACTAGGTCCAAAAAAGAGTAGGGTTGACCTGACTTGAACTGTTCTGCAACCTAATTGGTGCATTGGCCAGCCCTCAACAGCAGCCCCACATAAAACCATAGAGATGCAATTCTGATGACTTATGTGACACCAAGAGCAAATTCTGCTACAGTATGCGGGTCATTATCTACCTTTATGATGCTCAGCCATCCCTACTTTGCAATCTGTTTGATGTTTCCCCTTTCAATCTGTGAGCACTTCCTTGTTTTGGAACAATGAGGTATACTTCTCCGAGATGTCCTAATCTTGAAGTCAGCCATTTCACTGGTGTTTTGCAGCCAAAATCTCATTGCAGGCTCTGCCTATTGCTGCTGGAGTGTCATTGCTTTTAGCTTGGCCATCATTTTGTCATTAGGATTCGTGTGTGTGTGTGTGTGTGTGTGTGTGTGTGTGTGTGTGGTGGAGGGTCTTGTTGTCTTGCCCAAGTTGGCCTCAAACCCCTGGGTGCAAGAGAGCCTTCTGTATTGGCCTTCCCAGGAGCTGGGTTTGTAGGTTTGTGCCTGGAAACCTGGCTATCATGATTCTTGATCTGCACAAGTGACATTCTGAAATCTTTTAGGATTTTCTATTTCCCAGGGATATCTTGAAATTATATCAGCGTGTCAGGATGTACATATATGTTCATCTATTGTGTTGGGTGCTTAAGGTCCCATGTAATCTACAAGTTCCATTCTGGAAAATTCTCTTTATAACTAACTTCTTATTTTTCTCTGTTCTCTTCGCAACTTTTACAAAAATTTAGATTTCTTGGATTAATCCTGTAAAGTCCCTTAGTTGTCCTGAGTGTTGTTTTCTTTTCCAGTACTGGGGGTTGAACTTTTCTCCTTCCCTTCCTTCTTTCTTCTTCTACAGTGCTGAGGATTGAATCAGGCCTCTTGCATGCTTGTCATGTACTC